AACCACTTGCTGGTAATTATTTCCCTTCCGGGTGAAATTTGTTCCTCTTTAAAATTTTTAAAAAAAAAAAAAAAAAAAAAAAAAAAAAGTGAGTGGACCAGCACAGGCAGCTGAAATGGCTCCTCAAGGAACCTGGGGTTTGGATCTTTTTGTTCTTGTTCAAATCAAGGAGTCTGTTTCATAAGTGAACTGAAATCTTTACCCCCAGTTCAGATGCTTTTGACAATGTCTCTGGTTCAGGAGTGAATTAATAAAAGGAATCCAACCGTTTCAGTTCATATCATGCTTATTTCAGGTGGATCTTAAAGCATGATATGAACTGCAATTCACAAATTGTGAATCAACCCAGACTCTTGGACATATAGATTGGTTCACTCTTCTTCTGAGGGCTTTGCTTGTCCATTTATTTTCCCCACCACATGTTTTTCTTCCACTAAGTGTTCCATTAAAAGCCTTGGACACAGCACTTTCTGAACAACCAGCTCTTTTTGCAATGACTTATTGTGGTTTGACCTTCTTGTGGAGGGTGTCAATGAGTGTCTGCTGCACAACTGCCAAGTCAGCAGTCTTACCGAAGATTGCGTAGGCTGCAACAATATGATTTTTGTGTTAAAATCCCTTTCTATTAATCTTCTACTTTTCTAGAGGACTGAATTGTGGATTTCTGTCCCCCTTCAGCCATTTATGTAAAATCAGATAGAAATATATGTGATATATTGCTCTGAGTGCAATAAAGTATATGAATTTTGTTTTTAGTGTTAATGAAATGAATTAACTTTTCAATGATTTTCAAATTTTCTGAGGTGTGCCTGAGGTCTCGTGGTGGCACATCAAAAGCTAAGCCATAGCAGAATTTCTGTAATTTAATTAAGGTACATCAATATGGTGGAAATTTTGCACTGACAAGAAAAAAAATCAGGGATTTAAAAAAAAAAAAAATCTAGTAGTCTGTAGTTTTATAATTTAAAGTACTTACATTAGATATGTTGGAACATACTTTTAACTCACACAAAATTTATGTATAAACATTTTATTTTCATAATTGATAAATTAATATGTCCTTCCCTTCCCTGACAACCTATGTGTCAATTCGCAGTAAATTGAAAAATCAGCCATACAAAAAAAAAACACAACAATGGGGTGGAAAAAGAAGAAGAAGAAAAAAAAAGGCGAACTCCTCCTCCCCGAACCCATTCCCTGTAAATGTTTAAATCCCTTTCAGCGGCTTTCCGCAAACTTCTGTCCGGAGTCCGAGATTAGAGGCAGACTTGTTCACGGCCCCCCGAGGAAGTTGAGTCACAATGCCACCACACTTCAAGTACACATGTGTCATGCGTAAATGCAGCTTACTGCTCGGGTCCTGACAGCCTCTGGGTTATGAATAATATAGCACCAGTGGGCAGCAAAAAAAAAAGAGGAGAAAGAGATATAACATGCGTTGTTCTGAGTCAGTTTTACTTGGGAACAAAGACTGTGGATCAGCTAATATCTTAATTAGCGGCAAATCTGGCTCGTTCCTTTGAAGGGAAGAGAGACATATGGGCAATTAAAAAGCACTTTGTTCATCATCCTGAATTGTTCTGAATGGCTCCCTTTAGAAAAGCCTTGAAAAAGTATATGCTCACATTTTCTCACTTTAGCACCACAAACTTTTGTGTGTTGTTCTGGGATTTCATGCTGCCGACATAAAAAACAAACATGCATTTGTGAAACCATTGTTGAATATTGCAGTTAAGATGAACTCACTTTATTCTGACACTTTTCTTTCTTTTCCTTTATCACATTGTCCTCGCCCCTAATTGTGGCCTTTAAAATTATACATTAAGCATGGAGATTAAGGGCAGTGAAAGTCAATCCATACATCTTTGCATGCATGTTAGTTCAAAATGATATACTGCCAAATATTGCATTAAAATTGTTCTACGCTATTGTAAAGTAGCACACATTAAAACCGCAGAGAGAATTTGCAATTAAATGTATAGTCAATGTCCTTTGCTGTGATATTCCTAGAGAATCCAGCACAACAAATGTGAGAAAGCTGTGCACTGCACACTGCACATCTCACTGAAAACACTATCACTATGGTGAAACATGGTGGTGGCGGTATTATGCTGTGGGGTTGTTTTTCTTCAGAAGATTGATGATGGAAGGATGAATGCAGGGCACTCCTGGAAGGGAACCTACAAGAGGATGAAGAAGACTTGAGACTGAGTCGACCTTCTACTTGTGTGGACGTCTTTATGCTTTACAGTGTTCGTCTGTCATAAAATCCTCATAAAAAATTTACGTTTTTGACAAAATGCAAAACTTTCTGACATGAATCATTTCTAGAGGCTACAGTCGGAGGGTACTACTGTCTTTCAAACAGTGCAATTTTTTTTTCACCAAGCGCTTTGCTTCGACTTTCTGAAATAACTCACTGTGTATGGGATTTCCTGAGTCATTCATTATTCTCAAGCAGAGCACAGAGTGTAGGTGTTCTCCTCTTTCTCTGTTAACAAACATCGCCCTGGGATGAAGTCAGGGGGAGGATGAGAGGGCGCTGAAGTCCATCCAGCACGACGAGCAAAGCGGGACGAAGAGGAGACGAGAGCCAAAGGAGTTGCGAGGAACCGAGGAGAAGAAGGGAAAAGGCTGCAGAGGAAGTGGATGGCTGGATGAGGGAGTAAAAGTTGCATGAGACTTGGCCACGTTGAGAGGGAACTGAGGCAGAAGGAGGCAAGAGGGAGAGGGAACAAAAATAGATGAAAGTAAGGAAGAGACAGGAAAGTTCGTCGAGTGTGAGGAAGCGGTGGGAGGAGAATATTTTAGGTGATAAGACAGACTCAGGAGAGGAGAGGATTGCTTTTCATTAGAAGAGGGCTACACTTAGAGGAAACATGCATGTTCACAAAAACGGAACATGCAACATGCATCATGCTGATGTGCCTGTCCATCAGCATGATGGACGGACACATCAAAAAGCAGGCAGGCGTGAGAGGACCTTGCTTCATAGCATCACCGCGGCCTGAATCCACCATCAGAACTAATACCGTAACCTCAATGTGAATGTGGGACACTGGAAGGCCTAGAGCAGGTAGTCCTGATGAAACAATGCAAGCAGACAAACAGAAATATTAGGAGGAGGGGTATGAACCAGATCACAAGCCTAATTGTTGTTTTGTTGTTTTCTTTTGGCAGAACATCGAGCTGCTTTTTGCTTAACCCCCCCTTACCTATGCAAACATCCAAACACCAACTCATATGGATGGAAAACGATACTCCAAGATGAGCTAAGTGAGAGAGTTTGCTTCCAGCCCGCCGGTTGCTTTGCATCATTCATGTTGCTCTTCTTGCTAAATGCATCAGTAGTTTACCACACAGCTCCACAGATTCTCCACATTACCGTGGACATTTCATTTTGCATAAAGCTGTACTGTAAGTGCTCTTTTCTTCCTGGTATGTTCTCTGTTCAGCCATTCAGGTCTTCACTTTCAAGGTTTTGGTTCATTTCTCAAACCCTGTTGAAAGTATTCTTTTGTTTCAGACAAAGAGAGATAAAAAAGGGGGCAGAACTTGAACAAAAGGGCACTCTCATCAAGCCGTCACAGTAGCATCATAATTTAGGAGCCTTTTCAACTGATGGGCAAGATGAATTATAATAATTTAAGCAAGTACTCAGACCAAATTGGAATGAACTGATTAGACGGCTTAGAAAATAGAAGAATATATAATTATAGTATTATGGAAGCTCAGCCTATCATGATTGGAAAATATGGTAGTTATTTGTTGTGGATAAATTAAACATTCAGTGCCATAAATGTGTATTTGCCCATGTTATATTTTATTGCTAAAAACAGAAGTAAAACATATCTGCACAGTGGGCAGTTCATGAGAGTAATAGCTTGTGTTTTACATCAATGTTTTACATAATAGCTTGTGTTTTAAATCAATACCAAATACACCCGGTAGATGAGGATACATCGTCATAGTTACCAATAAACATGCTTTATGGAAGTGAAACAGCTCATGATTGACTTGAGCTGTTTGTGTTTCATGAAAGAAAGAGCACATTTCGCAATGGCAGCAAAACAACAACTACAAAAAAAAAAAAAAAATCCAGATAGTGCACTAAGGCCTCTTGCTATTTGAATAACACCATATTCAGGCTCATATGAGAGAAGACTGAAATAAGGATCTGCTCAAAAAACATCCATTCTTCCATGTCTGTTGGTCCATACAGTGCCATGGGGGACCATTGTCTATTTCCTGCTGTCAACAGGGAAAAGGCAGGGTATACCTTGGACAGGTCGCCA